ATTTGTAAGCAAAAATAAATATGGAAACATTCATTTGTGAAAGGGAGTATTTGCTCTATAATTCTTAAGTAAATTCCAGCCTTCCAGAAGCATTTTTACGTCTTAAAATAATGAACAAAATGGAAAGGTGATAGATAAGTGACAATCTCAAGGATTTTATAGTGTATATTTATCTACACAACCATTAGTTTTGGGAAGAATGTTCAAGGAAGATTTTAGTATTAAGACAACTGGTCATTTTGAAGACAAATCAAAGCAAAGAGTATAATATGTGCAAGGTAGCTTCCATGTGTGGCTAAAAGGGCTTATTTCCCATGAGCTTAAATTTCCTGAAAATCTTAAAATAAGTCTTTCTGAGCATTGCTTCTAAACTAATTCATTTAAATGTGAAAAAATTCCAATACCAAGGGAAAAGCTTTACAAATAACAGCCACAAGACACAGGAAATACTTGGAAACACACTTATTTTTCAAGAGACAGTTCAATAAAGCTTAGCAAGAAAACTTTTACATTAGCAATACCCTAAATTGTTTACAATTTTTCACCTGCTGAGGGATGAACATTGAGAAAAAGACATTCACAAACACATACCTCCGTAATTAGGCACACACAGTTTGAAATTTAAAAACATCAAACTTTTAAAATTGAAAGTAGAAGGAAAACAACTTATACGAAAGCTAGATTTGCAATCATTTTAGTAATAGCAACACTACGCATGCAGCTTGTTTTAAAGAAGGGAAAAAAACATCAACAATATGAAAATTAGATTTATAATCATGATTGTGAAAACATTTTATCCTTATTAATAATTAGCAATGCAAAAAAAAAACTTTCTAGGTTCTTCTGTATGTACGTTATTGGATACTTATCTTTAAAGATTTCAGCCTTAATTTTGGAATATTTGGGGATATTTCGTTTCATATATCAGAAAAAGTTCGTGACATATAACTGAGATGACATTTGAAATGTTTATTGTTCAAATACTCATTTTAAGATAGAAGAAATGGAACCACAAGAAAGCAGAACAAAACCACAAACTATCCAAACATTGACACATTTTAGAATATGAAAAAAGAATAGTGTGATTATTTCAATCACTACAAATTTACATCCAACATTTCCTAGGGTATCCTTCTATTAGAAGCTTTTTGGAGATTTACTAAATAGGTAAAAATAACTAACACCACGTATGCTTTGCATTTAACATGAAAATATTGAATCCAATTAAAGCAGCTGGAAATCTTAAATTTAGTCAAAAAATTTGGCAATTGAAAGGTATTTCATTCTATGAACTTATATTGTGAAGGAGTTTGTTACTTAATATGGTGTTCATGTGTATATTTGCATGGCTTTGTTGTGAATTAATGACCACGCTGATCCTATTCATCCCTGCAGCTCAAAATGTGCAGGAGAGAGATGATGTTGAGGATAGTTTGATCAAATGATCAGAGACAAAACAGATAGTCTAGCTGTCTACTTGCTGAGCAAAGATTTGACAATGCTTGAGGGAACTATGATATTGCCATGAGAAAAGCATAATTTATGAATACTATTATCATATTTCTCAAATCGAAAATCTTTTTTCGATCTTAAGTTAAAGGAAAATCTACTGCCTTCGTAAGCCAGTAAAAAATCTAATGCTTCTAATGCTTGAAATATCTCAGTTGGAAAAAAATGAAAACCTTGTGGAATATTCACCGGTTTCCAAGTCAAGAAAAATTGTTCCTGCTTTTAAGAGTATAGGTATGACCATTAAGAATGAAACGAAGAGTAATATAATTTTCAATTTCTAATGCCTAATGAAGAAAACATATTTAGTTTCTGGTAATTATACTAGAAACCCAAATCATTATACTAACAATACATCGAAAAGAGAAAAATTATCAGGTTAAGATTAAAGCGCAACACTTCTGGCTTGATTTCTGAATCCCTTCTTTCTATATTTAATGAACAAAAAGGAAGGAGGTTTAATTAAACAAGAGAATGGTAAATTGAATAGAAAATTATTTTTAATTTCACAGTTTTTCTTGTTTTTTATTTCGCAACCCAGATATGAATATCTCAGCTACGCTAGGCAGCTGCAGACGATGTTCATCACTCTCAATATTCATGACTCTTTTGTCACAGATGTTTAACTGTATTGGGAATAAAATTATTCGTTAAAATGCTACTTTTCTCTTAACCTTTTTCTCAACAACAAAAATCAACCAAATTTTGAATTTCAAAGAACAAACGAAAATTCCTTAATTTTTTAAGAAGTAAAAATTGATGGACTTAATCATTTAAAAATGCACTAAAAAAATCATAATATAATTTACTTTGTTTCCAATAAGAAGTTAACTGTGTAATATCAAAAAGATTTTAAAAACATAGCATCGCTTTGAATCCATATATGTAAACATGAATAGGATGGAACAAGGGTTGCAGTAATGTGGGAAATTTTCTAATTTGAGATAAGACTCTTAGAGAAATGCCACATGTTAATACATAAATATCCCTTAGTCCAAGAAAATTAAAATTAAAATTTCAAACCAATCAGCTTAAAGATAACATTAAGTGATATCAGAAATGACTATTCTTGCACTTTGTCTCATTTGACTCAAGGTTTAAGCTAAACTTAATCAATTTATGTTCTAAAGAAGGAAGATTAGAGGCAAAAATGGCCGTAGAATGAGCATATCAATTCAACTTGTTGAAATATTTTTGGAGTGGTTCAATCAAAAGAATTTGTCCCAGACAAATGAGAAGCTTTGAAAGAACTACTATTCTTAAATGGGAATTCAAAAGAACTTCATTTTATCCTTTTAGTAAATTCGTTCCATTACTTTTCTTCAACAGAAGCCTGCTGACTGATAAAGAAATTCAGGATGTTCACAATCTTCTATAACCACACATATTTGGTTCAATCCTAGTATATTACCATAAAGGCTATTATCTTGACCAATCATTTTCCTTTAAGATGAAATAACAACGACAGGTGATGACACATTCAGGCCTTTCCGACTCCTCACAGAAGAATCTTTTCTCGGAATTTAAAATCTACATTAAATTTACTGAGCATAAATGAAAATAAATGAGAAATTTATTGAAAAAATGAGAAATATGAACTTTTTTTGAATACCCCAGCATGAAAATACCAAATAATTTGAGTAAAGAGAGAAAAGAATAAATAAAATATAAACAAGATTATAAATAAGAATAACGAGAATGGAATTATGTTATATTCATTATTCAAGAGAGAAGGAAAAAATGCAGTTGAGTCAAATGCCTTTTCAAAAATTTTTTTAACTAAATCACAGACCAAAAATTTAAGTATTTTTGAGGGATCAAAATTCTAATACACTTATAATTCTCTTTCTTCAGCTTTAAAATATTTTGTTTTTGTCATTTGAGAAGTGATATCCCAAGTTATTATTATTGAATGAATGTTTACAGTAAAACCCAAAAAAACTCTTAGCCAAGGCCTTAAGGTAATGAATAATCATGTATTCACACACTCTAATAAGCCCCTGGGCAAAATAGCAAAACATTTGGAAAAAAGAATTGAGAGGTCAAATTCTTCTATACAGTATAGCAATCTTTTGAAATTCCTGAACACGTACGAATGATCACCTAAAACGTTGCGGATATTCAAACTCAGAATGTTTACACATTAAAAAAGAATAGTGAATGTCTATACATATTACACATCCTATATATTACACTACAATTTCAAATCTTTTTAAGGCAATTTTGAAAAAGGTACAATTTTGAAAATTCCTTTATATCGTAGTTTTTAAAAAATTTCAATGAAGACTAGAGGATTTTGATCATATCTTTGATCAATGATTTGCTAAATCATTTTGAAAAGTCTGCGAATGCACTTACTGGATTCACACTGTATGGTAAACAGAAATTAACCTGCTTTTGGAATTACCATTACAACTTAAATTTCAATGGTCTAAGTATAATGAAATAGAAAAAGAATAGACAAATCTTTCCTGTAATCATCATCTGTGTACTCTTTGAATATATGTTCATCAGTGTTTAGTGAAGAATACAATATACTTTTCCATATTTCTCTCAATATTTTACTGGTTTAAAATTTATTTTATTCAGTGTTTTCACCCAATATGACTTCCCTTCAAGCTTATCTGTATTACGCTCCCATAGAAAATGTCTTAAAACACCTGCTCTGTGACCAACCAACCATATACAGATCAGTACAATAAATGCATGAATATTACTGAATGACAAATTAGAGTTCAAAACAGGAGCAGCTAAAGCAAAATGCTGTAGTTTTATAAATATTGTTTTTTTTATAAAACTATTCTTTAAAAATATCTTTCTCTCTTTAGCTATGTCCAACTATGAAAAACTAAGAGCATGTTCCTTTATCAGTATAATTATCTGTTTGATAATATATGAAATGCATACATTAATCTTTTACTAGATTACCTGTATTTATTCATCTTTTTTCAGTGCTTGTGATCCTCCAATTCTTTATTTCATAGATGACAAACAGTCCATATCCTTGTTCCAATTCATTCACCAAGTGTAGTTCCATTCCAAGTCCCACAACTAGGCATTTCCTCTTCTTGAATCAATTAAAAGCAAAATAAAAACGATTTCTCCTGGTATAGTTATCGATATCAGCTGTTATGGAATTGATCAGTTTAGTAATTTATGATAAAACCAAAAAAATGGAAAAAATGAAATCTTTTATGACAAATTCCTATGAGGAAGAAAAGTCTATTATACCATTTTAAATCTAGACGTACTAACAGCATGTATCAAAACGAAATTCTCAACTAAATCATAACTGGAATTACTTCCTAAATGAAAGAGAAAGAGAGAAACGCATTTTCGAACGTAAACTGAAGTAACAAAAATAGCGAAAATTTTCTCAAACGCTCTGAAGCGTGAAGACAAATAAAGGTTCAAGGATCAAATAAAAAGGGGGAAAAATTATTTTACGAGTGATTACACAAACTAAAAAGAACAAAAACAAAAGACAAGAACGGGTTAGAAGTTAAAGAAAATTTAATGAAAGCAAAAACTCGATGATTACAGTAGACAACAAAAAAAGCCTTGATAAAGTAAAGGCTCAAAAATTCCGTCACTAAGAACGAAATAAGAATAAAGTAAACACCAAGATTTAAAGAAAAAAATAAATTTGTCAACATCGTACAACTTACTTAACATGAAATAGCTATCTTCTTCCATAGAATAGCCGAAATAATACTCTTTATAATATACTGAAATGATGCTGAAACCAGCTCCAAGTCTCTCTAAATATTTCTAGAATATAGCAATAATAATAATAATAATTTCTCGAATCGAAATATATATATTTTTGGTGTGTTCGAAATGCTTTCTTTACACTATTAACTTTGTATTTATAATTTTATATTTGGCTTTAAATCTTAGCCATCAACCGAATAAATCTAGAAGTTTTTCTCCGAATACTTTTTTGATTGGAAAGTGAAATATAGATTTTAATATAATACACCAAAATCGATCGAATGATCGAACAAAAAAACACTGAATCTAGCTACCATAACTCAATGAAACCCTCAAAAAATGCTAGTAAACAAGAAAGAAAAAAAATAGTAAATGATAATTAAAGTGGGGTTTTCTTGGCAACAGTAAAGGCGGTAGAGTTGAAGAATTCTTGTCTGCTTGCTTGTATATTGCTCTGGTGTAGAACTAAGAGTTAGTGCTCTCAACTACGTGGAATTTTATTGTTTTTGTTGGTCTTGAAGGAGACTTGTAGCATTTTTCCTTTATGACAAGTCCCATTTAGAAGACAGATAGCGTAATATGCTTCATCATAGCTAGGCATGTTCACGAACCCATACCCTTTATCTGCCTTCAGTTCAATGTTGACAATGGCCCCATAAGGACTAAATAATTTGTACAAAGACAGAGGAGTAGCGTCTTGAGGAAGACCATAAACGAATATACACCATCCTTGTGGAGTCAGACCTTGAACACCATTTGGACTGCCAGGAGAAGTCGGTGAAGTCGTGGAATTGTGACAGGAAGGTGCTGGACATGAAGAAGAGAAGCCGGTAGCTGCAGCAGCAGTGAGTGGAGAATATCTCAAGTTCAACATTTGATGATGGTGAACGGGTCCTCCGCTGAAGTTTCTTTGAGGTGTCAAAGCTCGAGTTAGAGGAGAAGGAATAGCTGGTTGTGCTGGGAATTGAGGTTGCCGTGTATTAGGAGGGTTAGCAAACTTGACAGTAATTTTGTTAGTTGTGCCGGGTAATGGTCGATTGTTTAGTTCATCTATGGCAGCCTGTGCCTCATTCCTTTTGTCAAATCTAACAAAACCCGTTCCTCGACCTTCACCATCTACGTCTTTTAAAACTTTTGATGTTATAATTTTCCCGTAAGGCCTGAATAACGCATCTACGTCTTCTTCTTTAAAATTTTTCGGTAACCCACTGATATACAAATTCGCATTTTTGATCTCGCTGGACGATGGCCTCGCAAAGCTCACTTTGAGCTTTTTATTTTGAAGTCGAGCTCCATTCATCTCTGCCACAGCTCGATTAGCGTCTTCGGCATTTTCATAATTGACAAAAGCGTAGCCAAGACTTTGTCCAGTAGCTCGATTCCGAATGAGTTTACAACTAGTGACATTTCCCAAAGTCCCAAACATTTGTTTGATTTCATCTTGGCTCATATTTGGAGGTACATAGTTAATGATGAGATTTGTCTTTTCGTCTCCTATTCCTGATCCATTCTCCATCATAACATCGCCATCTACACCACAATCTTCTTCGATTTGTTGTGATTTTTCGTTCATCATGTCCAACATCATAATCCACTGGGGTTGTTTTTGAATGAGAGAAGTTTGGAAAGTCTTAAAAATCGAACGAATTAATTACGGGGTCGGCCAAATGAACTGAAACGAGCAGAACTCAACTAAACGTCAAAAATTCGAATCAGAAATGAACTGTCACCGATGGCGGTAAAACTTATTTATGCTGCACGTGCTCACCCCACATACAATACAACCAGCCCCCCTCTAGCCACAGACCACACCACCCCACCCCTCCCCTACTAAAATACGCACTCCGTGTAGGGGAGGACAAAGGCAGGTGGTGTTTCAATCAAAATCATATAGTTTCGTAGAATTAGCTAAAAAAGCGTATATTCTTTTATTTATCGCTGATGGCAATTATAAGTATAGGGGGATTTAATCGTTTTAAAGGTATTTTTAGTGTGGAAAATTCGTTTGTGTTGAGATCATGGTGTGAGGTAGAGATACTGGGGAGTTTTTAATTCATTAGGCAATCTTTGACAGCCGGAAGCCAAGCTACAGTAGTGAAAGAACGAGGCTTTATCTATATTGTAAGGTGAAATTCTGGCTTGCTGAAAGCAACTTCTAGTAAATATAATATTCAAATCAACTTGAAATGAAAACGAAAGGTATATTTGTCGATGGTTCTGTTTCGTTATGGGATCGATTCAGTGGATTGTGAAATTACCGGCTAAATTATAAAAAAAATAAATGTTGTACAAAAACGTGAATATAATCTGTACATTTATTCTCATGTAAATTTAATATAGTTCATATTCGTTTAAAATAGACACTTAAATTTCTGTAATAAAGGTAGTGCTTTTTATCTATTCCTTCAATCAAAACTAGGCCTTCTGTTTTTTGGGACTCGTTTTCTGCGCAACCCCACAGGCAAGATACTGTGAACTGTTCATATTTTGGGTTCAGTCCTCGTCATAGTGTAGTAGGAGGTGGCCAAAATATTTTTTTGGAATGGACAGGCTGTCCTTTGATTTCCGCTAGTTGTGATGTTTGGATAAACCCTTTCGGAAGACATTCAGCGATTGGCGGTTGTGGTGAGCTATTACGTTAATTCTTTAGAGAAATTCCGACGCGACGCGACAGTCAGATCTGACACGAAATATAGCCGAATACCAACTGATTGTAATCCCTAGAAAGGCGGTGAGCTTCGCAAAAACGGAAACACCACCATTCCTAGCTAATATATGCAAAATACCAAAATCATTGCTCGATAAGAATTTGCGGTTTCCAGTGAAGTATTAGGCAATCAACAATAAGAGAACTTTGACTGGTAGATTTGATAATGTGCTCAACTTGTGGTGCAATTTTTTCGTATTGTTTTTGTGAACGATGAAAGAATAAGTGCAAAGCTATTTTGAGATAAAATGATGGAACAACAAATCGATAGTCATAATGTTATATGCTCTAGTCCACCTTGGCCAGGCCACGCCTCGACAACGTACATCAGTCCAGATGTTCGCTGTCGCTTTTTCAAATTAACACAAATATCACTCTTTTATTTGAATAATCAAAAAGCCTATTTACACCAAACCTCTTGAAAGAGTCTAGCTTTTAATCAGCAAAACAACAGTGAAAAAGAAATGAGTTAGCGAAGAAGAACAAACAACGCAAATAAAAAGGGAGTCAAACCAGGAAAAAGCACTCTCCGGCCAGTTGATATGTCGAGTGGCCCACTAAAAATACTAAGTAATAAAAGCCTCATTCAACCTCGAAATAATCCACTTCACGGAGAAAACGCTATTAGCAAGCCAATTTTTGAGGAACTACCGCCAATGAAGTTTGAGATTACATTTTCCATACTTGTTAAAGGCTTTACAGCTGTTCTGGTTTGAATGATTTATGGCGCGAATCGTCTCAGAAACGACGGTTTTTCTCACATTGGGGCATTTGTATTCGCTCAAGTGTCAGACAAAATAATTTCCAACAAGGATATATAATATGTACGCATTTGCGAATCAGAGTCTAGAGACTAAAGTCTTACAATGAGCGCACGTCAGGATATTGAGATAAAATAATCAGGCCATATAACAAATTCTTGATCTCCAGCTGTTTTGTGTTGTAAACTTTCTTAGTTTGTGTGAAAAAGGCCACTTGGTCCAAGGAATTTGCATCGCTTACTTTAGGTTTAACGAAAACAATTATAACATTGCAGATTACTGCAAAAATAGTATCTACTTAATTTTCCTTCATCACTTCTTACGATTGGTGCCATTTCTCATTGAAATACTATACTGCGCCATGTAGTTTTTATTGTTTTTATTCACATCGGTAAACCGCAGTATAAAATGGCTTTGCCTTTTCAAAAGTTTTCAATTGCGAATGCCCGGAAAGAAGAATTCAAATGCGTACAGAAATAAATGGTTGCGATTCGTCTAATTCTATAGTTCAAAACTACATTTTCGACCACATACTGATACGGGTACTTAGCAAGACATTTTTTTTTTTTGTAAAATGTGTTTGAAAAGATATATGCGATACATACACATCAAGTCCTAGTGTGGTGCATTAGACCTGAGTGGTAAATAAAATATGTAATTTTTAGAGCCCATGACCCCGAATTTTGTTTGTGCTAAGACTTGTGTTCGTTTGGGGCCATTTGCGCACGGCCTAGCGGGCAAATGGGATGTTGTATACTGATATGCGCATGCGCTTAGACAGTAGGAAAAATATATATCTTGAGAAATATATAGCTCCCCTTTTATCGCTATATCTACAGACATTACGCACTTCACTCCTACCTCCATTAGTGCTCCATCTACAGTGCTTCTCACTGAATAGCACGCGCAGAATCCTACAACTTGCCCCCATGGAGTAAGTAGGGTATTGGTGAACATCAATCAAATTGTTTTCATCACACTCTTGAGAAAACACGATATATTTTCAAAGGGCAGTGTCCTTTGGGCAGTGGCATTTGTAATGTCATGGAAACGCCTTGATTGATTTCCACGTGAATTACAGTTTCAGCGTTAAAAGACATCAAGCTAACGTAGAAAAGTATACTCAACTAATTATAAACAGCTTATTCTAGATTGTGTGTATGATGTTCAAGCAGTGATGCGCAGTGTGTCGAATCGTAAAAAACCATTGCTGAAGTCTGCGTTAGCAGACCGCAACTGAACCGAATCTCAAAAATACCTCAGTCAAATTTTATCGATGCACCGACACAAGCTTTTAGTTGATGTAAGTCGGGGCATGGTTTACTCACAGATCGAAACTTATTGTGAAGGGAGCAAGACCAGAGAACCTGAAAAAAAAAACCGTCACCACTAAACCACTCTTGATTTGATGAATTTATGAGTAAATTTTTGGCGCTATGAAAATGGTTTCAGGCTAGAAATCCTTGCAATCCTGTGCGCACCTCGCAAAAGAGATGGGGAAGCCTTTGAACACCTTTACCGGAAATGTCACGTCATATGCTTGTCATCAGTAGCATGTTACGTGACTTGGCGCTATGGCGTTATATTCCCGACAAAATTCAACATCAGGCTTTCAACATTCTTATAAAGAATTCAGTGTTTCACTTGCAATGCAATATTGTTAGTTGC